AGTTTGAATTTGTACCAATTTTTACAGCAAATAGCCAAATTATGTGATGTTTTGTCCACAGGAACAATCGCAAAGGATTCTTGAAGCTGTTGTCACACTGACAATCGGAGCGCAAAGGCGGAAAAAGGCAAAACAAGGAAAGGAAAAGAAGGAAGGAAGGAAAGCCCCACCTGTTCATCACCTCTTACGTACAAGGCCAGCCACGTGGATGGCAGGTTGAGCGCTGGCTGCCCCCATCCCCGTGTGTCACAAGGACCCACTTGCACGCAGCCAAAAGGCAATGCAGGCATGGAAAGAGAAAAAGGACACAGATTATCATTGTGCGCAAGGACACAGGTCGGCCTCACTACCCTCCTCTCCCAAACACAACGCACCCTTATAATGAATGTATACAAGCTTATTTTTCGACCTGATACAGTCATGAGAAGGGTGTGTTGTTCGGCCTTACTACCTTCCTCCCCCGAACACAACGCACCCTTTCAATGAATAATGAATGTAGGTGAGACCAGGGGCAGAGTCCCACTACGTAGCAGCGTCAAGTTTCCTCCACGCCCGAATCTGGACATTTTTGTGGAGATGTGCGATTCTGGAAACTCGATGCGATTTTCTGCACATCTCAATAAACACGTCCAGATTCAGGCGTTGAGGAAACTCAAGGCTGCTAGTGAGACTGACCCCAAGGGAAAGAGTTGGGAAGCAGCCCGCAATTGGTGTGACCAAGCAAGAAAGCAGCCTCACTAGCAGCTACAAGAGGGCATAAGCCTTGAAGATTTACAGAATCCAGAAAGAGCAAAAAAAAAGATTTGCACAATCCAAATCACTCTCTATTTCCCATACGTCAGAAGGTAAAAGGTGCTGAGAATGCTTATGCCATGACGCTTCCCCCAAATACGGCTATACTGACCGGGCGTTCTATTCGAGTGAAGACGGTAGCGGTCTTCGCCTGAATAGAAAGCCCGGTCATTATAGAATAATATAGATGTATCTGGGCACTTTTCAGACTAGAAACAGTGATAATGACTGGGCGTTCTATTCAGGTGAAGAGGGTAGGAGCAGTCCTTGGCCCACAGCAGCACCTGTACCCACAAATTGTAAATGACTTGATGAAGGAATGACAAATGATGGCTTTAATCCCATAGGCCCCCAAAAAAGCCGTGTGCATGGAATATAGGGGGTTCCCAGAATGTAATTAAGCCACAACAACGTTGAAAAAAAAAGGAAAGGAGACAGCAACATTTTGAATGCATCTGGACAACATGATGTCCAGATGCATTCAAAATGTTGACAGATGGCAAGCCCTACAACTAGGCCCTATATGCAATACCAACCTGCAGTCTGTAGAGTCTTTTGTCTGGTGTGAGTGAGTGATGGTCGCGTCTGCAAAATGTTGGCAAGCCACAACCAGTACTTGGGCGACGCCTTAGCGTTAATGCTACGCAATTTCCGCGGACGGCGGGGCGTCGATAAATCGAATCGACAGCCCGTGCTGCTTCGAGATTTGGGCGGCCGGCGCGGCGCGCAGTGCCCAAGTACTGGTGGTTTGAGCGCGGTGGTTGGTTGGTTCCCATCTCAGGGAATCCAGTTGTAGTTTTGTCACACAGGTACCCTCAAGGACAGTTCTTGGTGCCTACCACCACCAACAGGGCCGTGGTCCCACTAGCAAAGGGGATAGGATAGAAATCCTTATAAATCTGGCTATGTTTTATGCAGAGATACAGAAAAGCAGTTCGATCTCCATTTCCTGATCCTGTCCTCAAACACGTCCAGATTCAGTCATTCATTCCGATGCTCTTTGCTAATGGGACCACCACCCAGGGTTTAAACCACCAGTACACCTGGGTGTGACTCTCGAGGACCGTAGTGGGTGCCCTATCACCACGCTTTTCCAAGTCGGCGCGGCGCACTTTTCTTCTTTCTTGGCTGGCGCCACCTTCTTTCTTGGCTGGCGCCACCACCCACGGTGGTCCGGGGGGGTTAGCCCCCAGCCTCGAAAAGTTCGGGGTTGGCAATTCCGGATTTTGTGCAAGGCTGGGGCCATATACTGACGGTTTAGACCACCAGTACGTTTCCCCGCTTTTTCCTTGCTTGGAAAATAATATGGCGGCGGCGGTTAACACGGGAGGTCACAGATCTCATCGTTCACAGACCTCATCGTGGAAACGCCCGGTCGCAGGGAAACACAGAAAACAAAAAAAAAAACAAGAAAAACGTGGGCGCCCAGGGGAGGGAGAAACGAGAGAGAGAGAGAGAGAGAGAGAGAGAGAGAGAGAGAGAGAGAGAGAGAGAGAGAGAGAGAGAGAGAGAGAGAG